TAGCTCAAATTGTAGTAAATGTAGAAACTGTTGATCAGATCCTTTTTCAGCACGTTCTTTGGACGGACGAAAGTCGGTTTGTCAGTATTGGTTTGCCAAACAGGCGCAACGGATACTATTGGTCCATTGAAAATCCCCACATTGTAAATCCAGTCCAAAACCAAGGCCATTTTGGAGTAAATGTATGGTGCGGCATCATCGGTAGGCATTTAATTGAGCCTTATTTTTGTGAACATACATTGAACAGCGTGAGTTACCTAAATTTCCTTCAAGAAGAACTTCCTGCACTTCTGGAGAATGTGCTTTTGCAGCTAAGAAGAAACCTATGGTTTCAGCACGACGGGGCTCCACCTCACAAGGTCAGGATTATGCAGCAATATGTAGATAACACTTTCCCAAAAAAATGGATTGGGCTTAATGGATCTATTCAATGGCCCGGAAAGTCACCAGATCCAACACTCCTCCATTTTTTTTATGGGGGGTTTTAAAAAATATGGTTTACAAAACACCTTCGCGAGATATGAATCATTTGAAAGAAAAAATCACAAACGCTTGTAATGAGTTAAACGGCGAAATGTTAATAAACGTAATCCACAAAGAAGTTAGGCGAAGGTTGGATATTTGTCTTGAAATGAGAGGAGATCATTATAGAGAATAGATTGTAATATGCATGTAGTATGAAAGCGTTTGCCTCATTTTTTAAGTTTTGTTATTATTATCATCACCTTTTGTATTTACTGTATTAAAGAATTATCGAGTTTAATTCTTTTATTTATTCTTAATGACATTTATGCACTTTAAACAACGAACATTCAATTATTTTCCAACGACTACTTGATCCGTCCACCGCTAATGTGAGGAAGTATTTTTTTGAAACTCTTTAGGACGATATTGCTTATAACTTTTAAACGGGAAGTAATACAGAAAAATGTATCTAATAAAAGTTTGTTAGAAAAAAGAGAGCTTCTTTAACAGGAAAAAAATTTGGGTATGTTTCTGGAAAAAATATAATTAATGACATCATTAGTCGTTTCTGTCAAATCCCAAAGATAATACTTTCGATTGAAAATGGAGCTTACCTCATCCCATCTAACACCACGTGCCCCAAATTTTATTTAAATTTTTTGTATCCTCACAGTAGGCCGATACTATCGAGTTTGAGACACCCTGTACATACATACAGGGTGTTTCTAAGATAGGGGTCCAAACTTCTGCTGCGTTTATAACTCATTAAAATAAGCCAAAAAGTTCCTATTAACATGTGCCCTAAAACGCACCCTTAGGAAGTTATATGCCCTTAAAAGGGCTCAAACAAAACTGTTTTTTTTTCTGTTATTGACAAAACGGTCGCAAATAAATAGAAAAAAATTCATGGGTCTGACATAACTTTTTACGTTAAATAACATGGGCTACTCCGTTTTTCGATATGCAAATCATATGCGGCCCATTTAGGTCTGTGAAGGGGGTTTTCGGCCCGTAATTTTTTTATTTCAATATTTTTACAATTTTCTCTACAGATTTGTATCTTAACAATTTTACGTAAAAAATATTATCGTTGTCCAAATCGATATTTCCAATGGTTTTCGAGTAAATTGAATTTGAAAATTACTCTGCTCTTTAAGTTATTAGGCCAAAAATTACAAAAATCTGTTTACCATGGCAAATAAAAGACTGACGTTGCCACAACGCTTAACAATTTAAATTATTGATAAGTGGATAATTTAAGTATACAACATTATTGCAACTCATAAAATGGAATCATATTCATACACGGAAATGGCAGATATGCACTTTATGTACGGCCACGCAGCTGGAAATGCATCAGAAGCGAGGCGTCTGTATGTGGCAGCATACCCGAATAGAAGACTTCCTTCTCGACAGGTATTTCAGAGNACCTCACTCCTGGCATTTTTACGTGGTAAATTAATGGTTTATATTAAACACTACACCATCAACTTATTAAAAACTATTATCAATAACTAACTAATTACTGCAAAATACCCAAACAACTATGAACGATTTACTTAAATACTTGGAAAAATGCAAAATTGCTAGTGAAGTCGCATGTAAACAAACATGAATCCTAAAGGTTAGACATTTTGTGACGTAGGTAGTACGAGATAAGCCACGCTCATCATTTCTGCCTATTACTCGACCGTCTTTTTTACGGACCGTGGTGTTAAATGTGTTCGAAGGTATTATCTTTGTAATTTGACAGAAAAGACTAATGTATTATATTTTTCCCAGAAACATACCCAAATTTGTTTCCTGTTAAAAGCTCTCTTTTTTCTAATGAACTTTTATTAGATAAATTTTTCTGTATTATTTCCCGCTTAAAAGTTATAAGCAATATTGTCCTAAAGTCAAAAAAATCACATTAGCGCTGGAAGAATCAAATAGTCATTGGAAAATAATTGAATGTTCGTTGTTTAAAATGCAGAAATATCACAAAATACTTGTCATTACTCAATACGAACGTCAAACGTATAACTATTGCGCTTACAAAATGTTTTCTCATTCAGAAAAAGTTGATATGTCGCTAATTTACAGTCAAAAAAAAAAATTCAAGAAGAGCTGTAGAATTATATCGAGAAAGGTATCCGGAGCGCCTTATTCCTGATCATATAACCTTTACAAGATTGGAGGCGACCTTGCGATGAAATGAATATGCATTTTCTGTTTGGAAAAATCAAATAATTGTCCGAAGAGTAAGAAACAATGTTAAGGCTAGCTGGGAATTGATTTGGATAAATCAGCCGTTCAACGAATTTTAAAGACCAATGAGTATCATGACTACAAAATTCACAATTTGGAGTATTTGCCTGAGCGGCACATTGAAAACAGACTCAATTTTATAGCTCAAATTGTAGTAAATGTAGAAACTGTTGATCAGATCCTTTTTCAGCACGTTCTTTGGACGGACGAAAGTCGGTTTGTCAGTATTGGTTTGCCAAACAGGCGCAACGGATACTATTGGTCCATTGAAAATCCCCACATTGTAAATCCAGTCCAAAACCAAGGCCATTTTGGAGTAAATGTATGGTGCGGCATCATCGGTAGGCATATAATTGGGCCTTATTTTTGTGAACATACATTGAACAGCGTGAGTTACCTAAATTTCCTTCAAGAAGAACTTCCTGCACTTCTGGAGAATGTGCTTTTGCAGCTAAGAAGAAACTTATGGTTTCAGCACGACGGGGCTCCACCCCACAAGGCCAGGATTGTGCAGCAATATTTAGATAACACTTTCCCA